GGCAGCTGCGAAGGGAATATACGCACACCATATCCCAGGCCACTGTGTCAGCCTCCGACCATGAACAAATTTGTACTAGTTGGAGACAAGGAACACTACCTTTTCACCTTTGAAGATTTGGAAAACATAGGTATTTACTGAAATACTGAAAAAGAGCAGATGATCTAAATCTCTTATTTGTTTTCTCCAAGAAAAATGATGCATTAGAGACAGAAGCAAAGCCTGACCTTTCATTCACAGAACAGCCAGTCAGAAGAGTGGAAATTTCCAGAAATGAGTATTTCATATATATACTTCCACAGCGAAAGAATATTCAAAGTCCAAAACTTTGAAGCAGATGGAAATGCATAGGCTTCTGAAAGCCTTTCCTGACACTGGACAGTTTTCAAGCTTCTCCAGAACCCACTGGGCCAACATGATTCACTGAATTCTTTATAAATTAAGGAGCTGTAAATTACGCATCTTTTCTTTTAAACATGCATTACTTTCCATCTTTATAGCCAAGCTGAATAAACAGTATCACCATGGCATTTTTCTTCGTGGAAAAATGCCCTCCCCCCTCTTTCTGCTCCACCCTTGGAGGTCATCTAGAGAAGTGGCCATCGGTTCAGGTAAGGAGCCCAACCTGACACTGTTTAACCTTTGCTTCCGCAGGTGGGGGTTTTGGGCAAACGGCTGCTACTTCCAATCACACACCTGTAACTAACTGACCGAGTAGAAATGGCAGCGCAAAAATCCATTGTCAGGGAAACTCAGGGACTGGAAACAGCAGTGGCTTCGGCAGGAACGAGATGCTTTCCCTCGCTCATAAATCACTGCAGTTGCTTTTCATTAGCAGTCATTCATTCTTTCATCGGCTGGGTTCTGTGCGCCAGGTATTTCTCAGCCCTGGAAATAAAGACGCCTGGACTCCAGCTGGAGAAGAGGCGCGCGGGCTGGGCCGCATCCAAGTGTGCTGGGCTCAGATCCGCCTCACCTGGCCGTCCTCACACCCGCAAGGGAGGCTGCCGCCTCTGCCCCTGGGAGCTGCGTTGCTGGCTCTGAACCAAGAGAAAATGAGGCTTTTCACAGGGCGGCTGCTATAAGCTGAATCAGTACCCATTCTAGCGATAATTCATCTTAAGATTATTTTTTGGGTAAATACAAATGAAGAATGGTTTGGAAAGAAATGGAGACTTTGAGAAAATCTAAGTGTTCCCAGAAAATATAGGAAATAGCTTATATAAGATGCTTGCATATTTGGGAGAAAAACAATCGCTATAATAGCTCTTAGTGATGTACAATGTCAGACAAAATGGTTTTGCTCAAAAAGCATGGAATTTGGCCCAGTCCTCGCCCCCCTTTACCATTCAGGAAGTAAAACATAAAGTCCAAGTGATCAAACAATACAGTTATAGATACAGGGGGCCTGGCTTCCACTCCTGGCCACCCCTCAACCCAGGCCCCATCCCTGAACCTGTGAAACAAGTTTCCTTATGGCCTCCAGAGACCTTGCAAATCCTAGGACCCCTCTACCCGTCCCGTTTCCATGGTCTTCCAAACCACCCAGCATTGCAAATGATGTTATTCCACACCCAGAGCCCCTGGCCCTCGCAGCTGTATGCTAAGCGGCTCTGTGAGGCGCGGGGCCAGGAGCAGAACTGCCTGATTTTTTGGCAACTGGATAAAGCAAGTGGCTTCAGGGCGCTGAGATGTGGAATCATGTGGGTATGTCAGTAGGCCTGTTTCGGGCCAGCACCCGTGACTGCTGTGTGCATGCAGTGTGCAGGGAGCAGCCTTGTGGCCCGGTCCCCCAAGGCGGTGGCATGCCATGCCTGCCTCCTTGGGAGAGGGGACATTCTGCAGGTCCCCTCTCAGGTCCTCGAGGCTCGGCGAGGACTCACGGAGGGGACAGTGGTCTCCTCGCAGCTGCCCTGCACCCCACTGAGACACAAACAACACCCTCTTTTGAGGCAAACAACTGACCACCCAGGCTTGCCAAAATGAGGACAGGCTCTGAAAGGGGGCAGTTTTATTTCCAGGGCTTAATGAGACCAAAGAGATGAAATAAAAAGTTTTATCTATTAAAAAAAAAAAGGCAATAGACTCTCTTCTTCCAAATAAACAAACTATCCTTTGAACAAGAAAACAGCTTCTTAACAGAGTCAGGCTGGGGCCAGACCATAAAGGAGTCACGTGTCCCTCAGCCTCCCCCCACTCCTGGCTCCCTGATGCCTCCCTCTGCAGCTTTGGGGAGCCCACCGCCCTCCTGCTGAGCCTGCCTCGGAAGATCTGATGAGCTCAGCCGACACAGGCCCTTCCTTTCCCGGACATTTGGAAGGGGGGCCCTGCAGGTCCCTTTAAGGTGGGGAAATTTCCCTGGAATCTCTCAGTCACACCATAAAGGCAACTACCAGCTCCCTCAAAATATAAGACTTGCCTCCTCTACCAACTTTCAACATTCTATGGGCTTTCAAAAAAAAAAAATCTAAACTATTTTTCCTCTTAGGTTTAGACCTTCTCACTGATGACTACAACTACTTGTGTGTATGAGGGTGTGAAGACTATATCATGTGGACTGATTTACAGGATGACGAAACTCGATGGGGTAGAAAAACCTAGAGAATCACCCCCCCACCCAAACTCCTACATTAATATTCAGTTGTTGTTTATTTCATTTACTAAGTAGAGTGCTATTGAGGTCTCCAGTGTTTTAGCCCTTCACCTGGGTACCAGGGACATAGATGGGGCTCTGATCCCATCTTGTCCTCAAAGAGCTTATAGACTGTTGGCAGAAGAGCAGAGAAGGTAAGACATTATATCGCCCAGCGAAATGACACGGCCGGCACAGAGCTTGGTGGGAGCTCAGAGGAGTGTCGGGACCTTCTGCACAGCTGTGTGGGTTGTGCAGTGTATTCACAACCCTGGGGTCTCCATCCCACAAAGTACAGTTTCCATGGAGCCCCCCGGGGAACTTTGAGTGTGAGGAGCCTCGTGAGACTTCCGGGACAAGCGTCCGGGTGTCCGTGACCTACAGGTCTAGGGAAGTAAGGAGGAGTCCCAGCTCTTCGGGAGAAGGGGGAGAATGGCTGAGAATGATGGGAGGATTTCCTGCTGTGGGAAGGCTCAGCTTTCCCGTGGAGACTCCGGAGAGAGAATCACTGATGAAGGCGTGCTCATTTTGGGGACCTTCATGTTACTTCCCCACTCTCTCAGAGCAACTGTACTGTCTCCCAGGGCCCTATGTGATCTGTTGCCTCCAGCCCTCACCTCTCTCAGTTCACCTCCTGGCACTCCCCTCTTTCCGCCCTCCCCCCCCATACCAGCCGGACTGTTCTCTGACCTCGGAATGAGCCACACAAGTCCCGTGCCCACAGCAGGTCTTTGCTGCTCCTGGAGCTGTGTTCCCCCCGCTAACCAGTAGCCGGCTTCATCTCTCATTCTGACAGTTGCTCGGATGACACATCCTCCGTGACTTCCCGGACCCTCTAATTAGCAGCCTCTCCCCACCCCTCAGGTGTTCTGGATCCCCAGCGGTCCTCCCACTTTCTCACTTTTCACCTTCTGGTCGACTGTGAATTTATTGGCTACCTACATTAATATTTGAAGAGCAGGATTAATCAGACTCATTTCCACATCTTTAGCTTTCTAGCATCTTCTGCTAGAACTTGGTTCTAACTCTCTCAGTACCAAGACCAAGTCAGAAACTTTGAAATATATTTCGATTAAATGGAATATGCTCTGTTTCAGAAGATGAAATAAATGCTAATCAAGATAATCTGAGTCGACATTTTTCCTCTAGCCAGCGGTTCTACACTCTGAATACATATTCATAGCTGAATAGAAAATATATAGCTATATTCATAACACGTAGTTTTAAAAAAGGATTAGGGGTTTTATCATCAAAACTAAAAACCACTTTCAAAATATGCCATCAAATTATTTCACTGAAGCATTATAGTTGAGCAAACACTGAGCGGTGAGTGCAAGGCCCTGGTTCTCCTCTTGTGCACCCACAAACTATTATGTGCAGCACTGGATACGACACTTCACGTCTCTGCACCACCCAAAACTGCTCCCACCCTCCAAATGCATACTTTTATTACATTTTTAAAAATTAAGTGAGGAAATGGCAGTTTTGGCCTTGTACCGGAACTGTGCTGAATGCCGCTTTTCTTGAGCTACCAGGAGGCCGCTGCAGCCCCATCAGCCGCGGGTGAGGCACTGTGTCAGCTTCCAGTGCGGGAAGGGAAAGGCACTCTGATCCCTGTACAACTTCCTTCTCTTTCTGACAGCGCCAGCACAGGTCCACGCGACCCCCAAGGGCTCCTCACCCACAGAGACCAGGGTTTCAGCCTCTTTAACCCCAGGCTCTCAGCTACGCAGTAGGCTTTTGTCAATTAAGGTCCCAAAGAGCTGAAAAATGTCCCTTTCCATTGTGGGGTTGTCGGAAAGATGCACGTCTGCCCTCTATTTCTGCCACCAACCTGGTGCCCTGGAAACCATGACTGAGGTCAAAACCATCCCCTTGAAGCTGCAGGTCCCAAGCAAAGTGCAGAAAAAGCAAACTATGTGTCGCCAAGACGGTCTGATTTTGTTGCACTGTGGCGGAAAGGCCGCTGGCTGTGCAGCCAAGAGGACCCAGAGACCGTCAGTCCCAGCCTTTCCCAAGCCCCCCATCTTTTTGGAAGCTCAGGGTCCTCGCCTGAAACACTCCTCCCTCATAGGATTGCCACCGGAAGGGACTGGGATGAGGATATGCTCTGTGCCCTTCCTGGGAGAGGCTATTTCTCTCTGGGACTAAACACCAGCACTAAAGACAAACAGGAAAACAGGATAAGAACAGTCCTTTGAAAACATTCATTAGGATCTGACCTGTCTGGAACAATTTGTCACTGACAAAAACTCCGTCCCTGAGGATGAGCCCTCGCCACACAGGGCTCCGCGGAAGTGCCCTGGGAATGCCACAGGCGGGCAGCGGGACAGGGGAGCGGCCACCCCTTGGATGCTACGGGACTCACCAGGTAGCGCTCCTCCTGCCGCATGCTGGGCGTGCGGATCATGTGATTCTGTTCCCCTCTCCAGTCTCCAAATCGCCGGAAGAAGTAGTTCGATAAAAAGCGGTTGACGGGGTCTCTGATGATGTTGATGTAGACAGGCTGGTCTCCTCCAAACCTAACACAAGCACAGGAACATGGAGCCCATTACCACCCATCGCCTCTGGAGGAAAAGAAAGCCCACTTAGTTAGACATGCTCTCCCCTCTAGGTCAACATGTTATCACCAGGTGACCCCCTCTGCTAAGGCAGCACTGAATGATTCGATCAGCAAGCAGTGTTTCCTGAGCGGCATTTTATCATCATGCAGAAAGAGCTCCTCCAGGGACCTGCTGAGAGGCTGTGAGGTCTGCTCCGTAGGACAATACTATAAAAATGACGGTATTTGTCAACGTGAAGGTAGAAGTCTTATTCTCTTACTAGGCTGTAGGTTTCTGAGGGCGGACCAGGCTGGATTAGGTGTTGTATCCCCAGGGTTTTGCATAGACCCACTGGCACCTGGCTGGTCCTCAGTGAATGTTTCAAGTGGCTGCTAAATTCTGATTGTCTTTCAGGTAAACAGGACTTACATGACATTCTAATTGAAAAGGACTCAGCTAAGATGATCTGCAGTAAGTTGACTAATACGAGTCGACGTTTCTTAAATGTTCACTGTTTACCTTGAGAATACTTTCTGTGCCCAGCTCACTGCAGCCTCACAACACCTCAAGAGCAGAAACCATAATTATCTCCATTTATATTTGGGGAAACCAAGGCAGGGGGAGGGGGAGTCACTTGTGGCTGGGCCAGGATATGAACTCAGGCGGCCTGGCTCCTGAATCTGTATTATGAACCATGGAAAGAAGACTCTGGAATTGATGAAAGTAAGTGTGAGGGATCTCATGAACACAACAAAAATCAATGTAGTTATCCTTGAGTGATGGCAACTGGTTGTAGATAGAAACATAACAAACATCGAGGTGTTCCATTTTAATTCCTCCCGCAAAGGAATTAGACAAATGCACTGAATGCTGGTCCAAGAGCAAGGCTTTCCCGAGACAAACTGACCAGGTTGGCTGGGCTTTTCCGAAGGCCCCCGCCCTTTCTCTCAGCCCTGCCTGAAAGCAGGGAGCCGGCGAGCCTGGGGATAGTGCTCCCGGCCCTGGACAGAGGCCTTGCTCTGGGGACCCCCTGAGGGGCCCTCAGGCTTCTCTCGCCCTGTGACCCCCTGAGCTTCTGATGAGGAGGCCTAGACATTGCGTCAGGGGTCCGAAAGCGCTCCGAGGAAACACGCCGGTGTAACCGTGCTCCCACCGCTCTCCAGCTGGCCGACTCCATTCACCCTTCAGAATGCAGCCCAGAATCGCAGTCACGTCCTTCAGCAACGACCTCTGTCCTAACGTCGGTCCCTCTGTCCTCTGGCTCCAAGCCCTGTCTCTAGCCCCTCCCATCAGACCACGGGCCTCCTGGAGCCAGCAAGGATGTCACTGAGCACGGTGCATGCACACCGTAGGTGCTCGGCCATAAAGAAATGAATGCCTGCGCGTTTCTGCCAACAGCACAGGGCTGTGTTGTCGGAGGAAAGCGGACACGCAGCACCAGATCTTTCTCGTGTACTAATTCGTGCAATGTCGTCCTCAGCTTACTTGCATTTTGAATGAGAATCTTCATAGAGAAAGAATACAAAGGAAAAGAAATGATTCTCTGATGGTGGACTTTCAGGCACTGGGGCAAGTGAATGGCATTCCGGAACCCTGAATGCACCACATTGGAAAACTCGCTGCCCATGAGTAAGGTGACCTCTGTCAACGGCAACTTGTCAGTTCCCAGATGTACACAGGTGACATTCATGCAACCTGAAGAACAACTAACTAGTTGTCCTTTAACCTGAAGAACAACAGTCAGCTGTGCCAGCCCCCAGCTAACCACCACCATCCTGGTTGCCTCTTCCTCTTCTAAATTAGATGGTGTTTCCTAGCTCTGATAAAGAGCAATTAAAGTAATAATTCTAGGAATAGGACGACGAAGCAGGAACACTAGATGAGGAGGCAATTAAGCCCTCTGAAGTTGTATCATGCTTTTCAAATCCTCAGCTGTACTTCTAGGTCATGTGAAGAATGACGGTCACCACAAATCAGCAGGACTGCCACTCAGGGGACCGAGTCCCGGTCCCCACCCTGAGGCAGTTCTCGGCCTGGCCATAGCCGTCCTCCCTTGAAAGCCAGAGCCGGGAAGCCTGTCAAGGCTTCTTGAGCGCTGGTGGCTTGTTCCTGCTTACAAATTATACCCTAATGGAGGAATTCCAGGTTAATTCTCCCAAACGGAAGTTTTAGATAGTTGAATTTGTTGTCAAGCACCAGGTAACCTAACAATCTCTCTCTGGAAATTTCTACGAGAGAGGTGTCTGATATATACCTCTCCCTTTCTAGAAAGCCACAGTGATAACAGTTTCATCTTGCCAATCCTCATCCTTTTTCTAGGACACATGGCTCCCTCCCAAATTGCTGGAATCAGGGAGGTGTGTCACTTACACCAGAGAGGCTGGGAAACCACCGCTCTGTGTCTCGGTGCCCGAGGAGAGGAACCAATTTCTCGCCCTCATTCCATTCTCTCTCAGCATCAGTTTTACCTCTTGGTAACTTTTCAATTCTAGTTAAAATTCCTGGTCCCCCTTAGAAGGCCACTGAGTCCCCTGAACCTACTGCCTATCATTGGATGTCACTCTGGAGGAAGAATGCAATGTGTGCCCCGCCCCCTCATCCCTCCGCCTCAGCGTTAGAGCCCTCGAGAGGAGGTTCCACAGCCTCCCTGCAGAGTCCATCCTGTGGGTCAACCCCACAGCTGAAGAGTCTTTGTTGTTATGCTCACCCCAAAATTCCTACTTTTCCTTTTGGGCACATTTCTTTCTGTTTGACCCACTCCACACAAAGGATTAGCTTCTCTTCATGTGCTCTTGCAACTTTTAGCATTTTCAGCTTCGATTTCAATTTCTTGAACTTTTTTTTAATACGTGCATGTGTGTGTCTTGAGACTTATTTCCCTTCCAGTTATAATCTGCGGCTCTCATTCAGCCTTTATCCAGCCCTAAAAAACTGTGGCAACGGCAGCTGATGACCCGTTTTGGGTTGTGGGAACAGGCCAGAGCAGAGTCAGGCCATGTTTTTATTTCTCACTTAACAACACACCCTCTTGTCCCTTGGTCATCACAATAATGACCACATAGTTGAAGTTCTCTTTTAAATCGCCCTAGAATAGCAGGTATTTCCAATTTCTTTGATGTTTATTTTTTCACAGGTCATATTCACCAACACTTTAATCACCCCTGTGGGTCTCCTTCTGACCCTTTGCGAATTTATCGTATTCTTTTTATTTTTATATTTTGATGAGAACCCAAAGATCCAAAACAGCATATAATTCTCTAGGAATAATAACAGCATGTTTCTAATTTTTTTTTTCATGACTCCTTAAATATCTCATTCTGAGCATTTTCTTCAACCTCTGTCCCACACTGCTACCGCAATCGATCAACGCATCAACATTAGTCACCTTTTTGATTAGCTACAAAAAGCACCTGGCTAGGAATTTTAGGTATGCTTCTATCAACATCCGTCTCTGGAAGGCTCTGAGTATCCCCAACAGAAGCTCTGTGCCCATTACACAAGAAATCCCCTTTGCCCTCCTCTTCCTAGCCTGTGGTAACCACCATTCCACCCGAGGTCTATCTTCTTTTTAACCTCTGGCCTGAAAGTAGAAGTTATCCTTGCCCGTTACCTACAATAAAAGATGAAGAGTGCCCGAGGGTAGAGGTCCATTGCTTTGATGCCTGCCAGAGAGGGAGGAGACATCTTGAAGTGGGAAAAAGTATGAATGGGGGGCAAGATGCGGAGCTGCCTGGGTGGGGGTGAGAGCAGAGACGGTTACTGAATAGTCCTTTGCTGGAAGCTAATCTCTGTAACAGGCCATTCACAGGGCGGGAGGTCCATGCTCCATCCTCACAACCCTAACAAGGGGACACTTCATCTTGGCTGCCCAGGATACAGCCTCCCATTGCAAAATACACACAAATGAGACTGAGCTCCTCTCTGCTCCCTGGCTGGGGCGTGGGGATCATTTGCTTAGTGGGAAGTGGAGACAAATGGGGTTAAAGGGAGGGGGCAGTTGCACCATTGGAATTAGTGTTTTTGCTCAGACAGGAAGATGACTTGATAACACAGGAAGTAAGTGCATGACCAGGAGGAAGGTTCTTCCTTGTGCGCAGGGAGGCAAGCTCAGGGCAAGTCCAGGTTATGCTAATCTTAACTGGCCAGCAAAGCCCGAGGGCTCAGGGGCAGCCGAGTGCCACTCCCTGTAGAGTGAGGCGAGAAATGTGGGGAAGAAAGGGCCATTTCAGGAAGATTAGTTCCACTGTGTTTAAATAGGGTAAACTGAGAGCAATCTCTCATTTTCAAATCAGACTTCTGGGCTCTGCTGAGGTAGCTGAAGAAAGTGTTCAGTAACGTTGTCTTCAAAGTGTGAGGCCTCCGTTACCACTACAAAAGATTTGCAGGGCACAGAAAGGAACTGGATCACTTCACTGATGATGATCAAAACAAAGCCAACCTTTAGAAATAAGATGTGGAAACCTGAATGAATTACGGAATTAGAGAGATCTGATTTGTTTTGGTAAGCAATGCCATCAGAGGACAGACTTTATTCATGTCAATAATTAAGACCTGCCTTTAAGGAAAGAGAGAAAGTGTCTGAAACACCTCCCCTTGCTCATTGCACCCTGCTTGCTTCCCCTCGTGACTGATTTAGTTTTAAATGTTTTGCTTTTGCAAGTTAGTGTTGGTATTGGACCCACCATGTGAGATGAAAGATTAAATAGAAATGGATGCAAAGGAGGGTGAGAGGGTGAGCGGGTCATGGGTGAGAAACAGTTTGGAGAGGGGGGAGTTTGAAATTATTTGGCTGTTGCTATCTCCTATAATTCGCCTGAGTTATTTTGATAGTGCTGAGCTCTGATACAAAACCATAATGTTTTCTGTGCAAGATCCAAGCTGGGGTGGGGGGTGGAGGGGAATTGTAAACTGGAAAAAGTTATTGTCTCTCCCCACAAAAGTTTGGAAAACAAACAAACAAAAAGTGGGGGCAGAGGAAGATAAATTGAATTGTCTGTCACATTCTTTCCAGCGTGTTGATCTAAGACAAATTGAATTCTGTCACATTCTTTCCAGTGTGTTGATCTAAGACAAACTTAAAGAGATATTGTCAATGTTGGGAAGTTGAACCTTTTCAAAAGTTACAGTTCTTTAAGTTACTTTGACAACTGGGGACAGACGAAACCATAATACACAAATATTAAAACTCCTCCTTAAACACCATGGGAAAGAGCTGCATCTTTCAGACGAAGGTAATTTGGACTCAATTCTCTGGTAGTCCAGGTGGAAAACTTGTCTGGCTCACATGAAAGAGCACTGCTGTGGAAGACTTCCCAAATCCATACCCCGGTGTAACTACAAAAACACTGGATTGGTCTGATAATGCTGGTTTCCATGGTTGAATTAATACAACTGGATATGGCAAAATGGTTCCTTCTAGCTCTAAAACAAGGAAAAATGAGGGACAGAGAAAGATGCCTAGATGATGAATAAATGAAATAAGTCAGCTCTTGAAGAGCCAGAAACTCAAAGGAAAACATTTTGCATCAGTCAAGAGTGTCTAAACTTCAAGGTAAGAATGTCACAATTAATGGGGGACAAAAGGAATTAAGGGAGCAATTCATTTTGGTATAATGCCATACTCTTCAGAAGTTCAGGATTTTCGGGTGCAAAAGAAGGCATGGGGAGAGAGAACCTAGACTTTCTTTTATTCTGCCCATAGGCAAATACCTTGTGATGTGTTAAGAAGGTAAGAAAGATTAGAAATAAAATATCAACAAAGGATATTGGGTTGCGCTATCAATTCTTCTCTTAATAACCTCATTATCTTGAAACAAGCTAACCACATGCCTGTCAACATAGATCAGGATAGATTTCTTAGGAGTAGTTAATTATCTCTATACCTTACAATTCAAAATACAGAACTCATTTTTAAAAACATGTGAAAGCCTTCTTAAGAAGCCCCAATTTAGTTGTTTTTCTCTAGTTACATATTTTGGGTTTTTCTTTGTATGTCCATAGTTTACCACTTATATGTAAGACATTTTCCTTACATATAAGCTATTGCCTTGAAAAAGAAAAAAAAGATTTTTCACTTCCTACATTGTATGAGTATAACATCATCTTGTAACATAGGGAAGTTCATTTTGTCACATGGAAGTCTTGATTCCAAGGTCCCAGGCCTTGTGCGTCTGGATGGGAAAAGGGGGTGAGGGTGCTCCACAGTCAGCATGAGTTCATCGAAGGGGCAAACGTGACCAGCTGAGTCTCTACCTTTTCCTGCCTCTGGCTCTGGGCTGCCATCCCTGTGCAGCGGTGTCCACCCTCTGGCTCCCATGCACTGGGTTCCTTTCCATCCTTCTATCCATCCAACTTTGGCTCAGGCTGGTTCCTGGGCCGCCAAGACCCTTCCCCTTCCAGCTGTCTAAAGAAGATCCGCCCCTCACATCCCAGCAGCAATGGCTCCCGCTCGCCACACCTTCCAGACTTCCTCTTCTGGGAGGAGGGTCCTGCTTCCTCTCCGTGAGACCCTGTGACTCTTTCTCATTAAGTTCATCACACTTCATTGCCACTTCTTCCTTAATGGAAGAAGAGCTTACCATTATGTGAAGGCAAGGAAAATGTTTCTTGTCCACTGCAGAAGCCCAGTCCTGGGATGGAGTATACAAGACAGAGGGTCTCCCGCAACCATGTGTTGAATTAAACAAAACGGAATGGAGAAAGGAGATAGCAGCAGGCGAAGGGCCTTGTCCTCTGAGGGCTAGGTAGAGAGCCTGGGAGGCAACCTGCAGGAGCTACCCTGTGGGCTCAGACAGACTCCTGCCAAAATGCTTTTCAAAGGCCACTTTGAATACACAGAATATTTATCTTCCCAAAGAGCCTGGAAGGCTTTCCTTCCTGTATTGAGCATCCCTAAAAAGTAGCAGCGTCCCTGCGTCACAGAGAGAAAATCAGAGGCCCTCTCCTCAAGAGGCTAAATCGCTTATTGTGAACCATGGTCAGGGAGAAGGTCTAACACCTGGGCCAACACTGTTTTCTGCAGATGAGGTGTTTTCTAAAGGTATTTATCATTTTTTTTTTCTTTCAGAATTGAATTAATCAAGATTAAACTCTCGAACACGTTTTTGTCATTGGAGGCCATGATAAAATACAGTTCCCTACACTGTGCCTGGCTCTGCTGATCCAATTAAGATATGGGCTTTGGCTTGTTGTCAGAGTTTTACACTGTCCTGAGCTCATTATTAAAATGTGCTGCACTGCAATTTGTTTTGATTGTCAAGATTTGAACCCGAAGCAAGAGTTAAACGGATGAGGTTGTAGGACATCCTGGGTGACGCAGAAGGAAGCTCGTGAGAAGAGTAAGGGTCAGAGGGGCTGAGCTCAGCTCCCTACAATAATAAACTGCAATGCCTGAAATAGCTAACAAGTCCTCATTATCTAATTATGTTGAATTATATGTTCTTGGCCAACTGGAAGTGAGAGGCAGGGCGCATACCTCAGACAATCCAGTAGCAAGCAAGTTTATAAATGTGGTTGGAAGCACACGCCAGCTCTCAGAGCCATGGCCCCGGGCCACTGAGGATAATTTGCAGGTGTCCTAGTCACCTTTTCCCTGTCCAGGGGAACCCTGGTCATTGGGCAGCCTGGGAAACCAGGGGAAGCTGGCTTTCAAAGATAAGTCCTCTTTGCTGCTCAGTGACTTGCTTTGCTGAATCTCATTCTCTTCACATTTAATTTGTACTGTGCTGGCTGCACAGCAGGGAAGTCCTTTGAAGGCTAAAATCTTCCACCCCCTTAGGTTGTTAGGCATCCATGGCAGGCAGCTGTGTTCATCCAGCGCGAATCCAGAAGCTGTGAACACACAGGGCCAGCCTGGGAGCCTGGCCCTTGGGGACCACTGGGTCAGCACGAGCCAGCAGGGCAATCTGGTGTGAGGGATGTGTTGGTCAGTTGCTTGATGAGGGAGGCCCAGGGTCCCAGGCTGGTCGGTGGATCTGTCCCTGGACTCAGGGTTCTGCCAGGGATACAACTGAGCTAAGACATGGGCCAGCCAGAGGAGAGGAAGAAGCTGAGGACTTCTAGTTCCCAGCAAAGCACAGTGACAAGGGTATGCAAATGAGTCCCTGGGTCGGGGGTGGGGGGGGGGTGAGGGGGTGGGGCAGGGGAGAAGGCCCAAAACTCACAGTTAGCCACTACAAATGGGTGGTCTTCTAAATCTGAAGGATTTGCATTAGTATCAGAAAGTCCTTGCAGCTGAAGAAAAAATAGATTCCTAAAATGCCCCATGACCATCAAACATGCCAAGTTTGGAACAATCAGACCGAGTATGAGAAAGGTAGCCAGAGAGGCCAGTTTACTAGTGCTTTGGATTCTATAAAATACACATCACTCCACCATTAGGTCGTTCCCAGAGTCCTGTGTGCGTTCAAGTTATACAAAAATGTACAATAAAATGCTTTTGTTAAAATACCCACGTCTTACCTCCCAAGTTATTTCTCTCAATACAAAATCTGATTTTTTTTTAAAAGAAGAACTATCAGGTCAAATGGCTTCTCACTGAAAATAATTTCAACTTTTCATAAGATCTGAGATTAGTATTCTAGAAAGAATCGAAGTTTGTGTCCAAATATTTCAAATTTTGGTCCCTCCGCAGCAAAAATAACAGGATTAAAAATGTCTTTTCAAGGGCTTTTATACCACTTGAAAATGAAGGGAGATTTTAAAATAATTGTTTGTTAGAAGGAGTCAAAGTGCTGAAAAGAAAAGAAAGAACCATTAAACTAGAAAATATCTTACCTTGAGAAGTTGAGGAAATGAACATGTCGAGTAAATAAATAGGGCTGTTCGGCAGTACTTATATTTTTAATCAGTTCCATCTATTAAAAAAAGTACAAAATTAGCATATATAGGATCTAATTTTCCAAGCTATATTAAGCTAAAGGTTATCTCCCCAACTCCTTGCCTCATTATGTATTACCTCCTGGACCAGAGCCAAACAGCTGTGTTTTGTGCAACATTCATGAACTTTACTTAAGGCTTCTTACTGAATGAAACAGTGCTATCCAGCTTTATAGTCCTATATTTAATATAGTTGATTGCCACTATGAAAACAACATGACAGATTAATTAATTTTAACTGGCGAAGTCAGCGTATTGCTGTTCAAAAATGCAAATAAGAAAATGCCTTTAATTTCCCCCGCCCCCCATTAAAGTCAAATCAAGACAAGAGGTTAATCATTATTTTATATTTCTATAATGATATTACTGGGATATGCAGACATATTTGAAACTAGTTCTGCTGAATTTAAAAGTGGGAGTAAAATGAGGCAATATATCATAATTTTTCTCTTTGAGTATAAACATTTACAGTGAAGCAAGTATTTCATAGGAAACATGCAAACCTCCCAAACTTCTTGGTTTTTGGTGGGTGGTCATCTGCATTATTTATTTGCAGTTATCAGCAAGGCAAAAAGGAGTTTATATTAGCATAAACTAACATTTACGGTCTTCTGGAACATGTCATGATACAGAAAACATTTGGTAAAATCTGTTAGAAATTCCAAGCATTCTTATGACTCCCTGGCTTCCTGAAGTCTACTTTCCTTGGACTTTCTAATTGGCCCCATCAAAACGGACACACTGTGGAATTTTTAAGAGGCGCACTGAAAATGGCTACCCTGGAAGCACATCACAAGTACAGCGTTTCATATTTTATGAATTCGTTCAGGTGGAAAACTGGAAACAAAAACGGGCATTCACGTGTTAACCACGGCGGCAGCAGCAACAATAAAACCGGAGTCTGGAACTCCAGGTTGTCTCAAGCAGAACAGAAAACTGGGTCTGCCTTGTGCCTCTCATGTGGAGCACAGGATGACAGGCACACAAATGCTCAGGAAATATTTGTTAAGTAAATTAACTCCAGCTCTATGTTAATCTCAATACCTAATCCTTCTATGAGATATGCAAGCTCGCGAGGATTGTTTGAAGGCATGAAATTGAATTTTCAAAGTAAATGACTTGCAGTTTCAACACCCTGTGCTTTTGTTTGTCAGTGGCTGGCACAGGTAAATAATGCTCTGCCTGAGTTTGAGCATAAAAGGAAATTGAATTCTGCCTCTTTATCAGCTGTTTATCCTCCACACCCTGGTGCTTGTTTTTGGTAATAAATCTTCCTGCTTGGTCACACTGCAAATTTTGATTTTTGATGGCTCTACCAATAGAATGACCTATTTGGAAACACACTCAAATGTCCCTGAGGATGTCTGCATAGAAACATAACTCTTTACTGTGTGTATGTTTAATATGAAACACCATTTAATGCCTTAATCTCTGGAATATTTTTATTCAGCTATTTCTCTGCACACATAAGAGTAATATGAGAAAGCCCCACGGTATTATACAAGACGACTGGAAAAACAGGTCACACGAAAAACCATTTCTTTCATATATACTCAACATTATATTACATTCTCCAAACACATGTCAACGTGTTCAACTTAATGGAAGAACAGTAGCGGTTAGATTCGGAGAGCAGTGTCATAATACTCATAAAGCTGTCTATTTCACAAGGAAAAATTGATTAGCAGTGACAATGCATAACTCTTCCTAGACATATGTTTAAACATAGCATAAAAGGTATTAATGTTCATGTTTATTGCATTAGTACAGTGAAGTCAGGGAGATCATTTCAGCTCTCTTGCCTTTTGTCCCCGCACACCAAGTACTAAAGCCGCTTGTGAAGGACCACAAGCACAGGTTTAGGGCATTACATTCTGGATGTCATTGGATGGTGTTCACAAACGCTAAGATTCTCCCCATTTCGAGGGAGAAGCAGCGGTCTCCTGAACCCCTTCTGCCCGTCCCCTGAACTACCTGTCTCGGTCCTCCCACCGCTGCGCTTGCCTGAGTCTTATCTGCATGGATGGCAACATGGGTGGCAATGGGCTACCTAAAATCATCACAGAAGCTACCTGTCCTTCTCTTCCCTGGCTCACGCAGGACCACTGTTGGACTTTACACTGATTCTCCCTCCCTTTCTCTCTCTCTCTCTCTCCCTCCTTCCCTCCCTCCCTTCCTTCCTTCCTTATTGAGTACTTTTCAGGCCCTGGAGATCAAAACATGAGTACAGTCATGGGGAAGACATTTAAAGACAAGACAGTAGCATGTGTTCTAATGGTGTCCCCGAACCTGCCACGAGTCAAACCTCACTCTTGGCCTTCACCCAGTCTTACTCCTTATCCAGCTTTTTTCATCTCTGAAGAGTCTACTTCTGGTCAACGGTACTCTCTATGATCTCACATTTGATCTGGGTCTTTCCTGAGTTTGCATCTGCCCACACTCCTGTGGGCAGTCAAACTAGATCCCATATGTGCCTTCCTTACATCATGTCCAAGCCTGATTGTAGGCTCCAGCTTCCTCTTCTGGAATATTCTTCCTCTTCCCTTTGCATGTCCAAACCCTAAATGGCTGGAACAACTACCTCCATCAAGCAGCCTTTCTGGGTCTCCTCCTTCATTCAACACCCATTGATTTCCAACTCTGTGTCGGGCAATGCACTGCTTATGGCTGTGCCTATAGAGATAAAATGGTTTTTTTTTTCTTGCTCTCAGGAAGTTCAGATCTGTGGATAATGTGGTCTAGTAAGCAGGCACCATCGTGTGTGATAACCACCATGGGGAAGAAGGCACAGAGAGGAGACACCTATCCCTGCCGGCAAGTGGAGGGGTGATATTTCCCAGTGAGGTGTTTCTGAGTGGTTTGCAAGGATCCACAGGAGTTAGCAAGTGAAGAAAGAGACCTGTAGCATCACAGAGTGAACAGCAGATGCAAAGGACAAAACAGGAAATAACATGAATATTAAAACTACCAGGAGTTCCACATGCCTGAGTTCAGGTAGCGGATGAGCAGAGCAGTAGGTAATACTAGAGAGGGAGGTGCGGGTCAAGTAATCGAGGGCCCTCCAGGTCACATGAAGGATTTTGACATTTATCCAATGGGGAATCCACAGTCAGAAGGATTTTCTTTGTTTTTCCAGGTCTAAGGTCAGGGTGGAGAATGTGAAGCATAAAGGTAAGGATCAGAGACGAAAGCTTGGCTAGGAAGACAGGTCAACAACTCCAACAGGAACTGATAAGCTCATGAACTTAGACAGGCTTCTCGTCGTGGTCCCCAGGGCAGCAGCATGGGCGTGGACTGGAGACCTGTTAGAAGTGCAAATCCTCAGGCCCTCCCCGAGACCTGCTGGATTGGAAGAAACTCTGGGGTTTGAGTCCATCAATCTCTGTTTTAACGAGCCCTCCAGGAGGTTCTAAGGCATAAAAATTTAAGAACCCCTGAACGAGGTCCATGAAGTGAAGACAGATGAAGAGGTTTAGGGGCATTAAGGAGAAAGAATCTGCTGAGCTCCGTGTCCAGCTGGTGGCAGGAGTGGGGAGAGGCGGTGGTTCGAAGAGCTTCCTTCTCAGAGCCCTGCCTTGGATCTGAGCACGCGATGGTGCCCACTCGTGGGGAGGGGGGATGCTGCCGGAGCAACGATCTGGCTGCAGAAGTGAGGGGAAATGGGTTTGGTTTCGAACATCTTTGGCTAAAAACGATGTTCTTTCTTTGACTTTTCACAGCCTTTGAGGGTTTCTCAGGGCATGCACTTTTTCCTGTTACCTTATAGTTGAATTTTTGTGCACTAGCTTCCAACCAGATTGGAAGCTCCTGTGGTCAGGCCTGATTTACCCCCCAGCAAACCAAGCCCAGGTACCTGCATAGAACATAGGCCTCTGTAATTCTTTATGTACTAAAGATGCCCCCATTAAGAAGTATTCCTGGAGTCAAGAAATACATAGTTCACTGAAGAGAGAAGAATTATCACTGAAGCAGTAAGTTCAGCCTTTCTGGGACAAACCTGTACATCCATTACCCCAGTGGAGCTAACAGTTTTATTATTGCAACATCTAGGACATAATGCCAAACAAACTACCCTTTTCTGAGTGGTTCCTGGGCCACACACTGTACCTAGAAGCTTTTTATACATGTGCTGTCATTTTATTCTCAAACAACTCCACGAGGTAACCATTATTATCCACACTTCCAGGTTAGAAACTGAGGCACAGAGAGGCTGCATAGATGGTGTAAGGCTTCACTGCTAGAAAAAAAGGGGAGCCCGAGTTCAAACCCAAGTCTGTCTGACATCAAAAGTCCTGTTCTTTATCACGGAGCTGCAATCTTTTCGCCATTTCCACTGTTACTTGATCTATACATTACCTCTTAAAATGGGTGGGAGGGATGGGTTAGCAAAAGAAGTCTGGAGAATAAAAAGGATTTATAGGAATATATATTTTCTACCTTTCATGTAATATGCTGAAAATTGAAAGGAAGTTATAACAGGTGGGGCAGGATTAATAATAATAAATAAAAACATTAAAATATCAGTGCGAATATTTGTTCTTGGTGGGAAACTGCGTATCTTATAACAAGAGCAAGAATTAATTTAAAATCCTTTTAAAAAGGAGATAACCATGTAATGGAATGTATCTGCAGGAAGGAGTAAATCATAGTGTATCTGGAAACAAGATAGAATTGAGGTTTTTTAAAAAGGCGAGAATCAGACAGAATTTATAATGCAGAGGATGTGCCAGGAAGTAGTTTCTAGTCTTTTGCTTTCAATCTAACTGGGAAAGTAGAACAGAAAACCTTTACCTGCAGTTCTACAAACACAGTGAGTTGGTAAAAAAGACTTGGCTCCTGACTCCTTCAGGACATGCTGGCCCACACTCACCATAGCGACCCTGCTCTGGTCTGAATTCTTGGGTCACTCGGGAACACTTAGATCTTGGTGTCCAGTAATTTTGCAAAACATCCCAAAGGAAAGAAATGTTTCTGACAC